CTTAAAAAAAATTCCCAAAAATGACCTAAATTTTTGGTGGTCACACTGGTAAGGCCCCTCTAACAAGGGATCTGTTCGATCGTGCAATTGCTACGTAAATTCGTACTACGTAGATCCGTATATATAGATACTTGACGGAACATTTCCCAGAAACGCAAAATCCTAAATGCTTCCACTTTTCACTTTTCACTGTCACGAGACGGAAGTCAACGTACTGCGCGACCCTCGGCCGCGCGGCACGGGTACTGTTCAAATCGTTTCAGAACGAATCGAAGGTCAGTGGACTGACCAAGGGCAGTAGGTCGGATAAGTGTCCGAATCTCTGGTTTTCGCGTGAGAAACGCGAAACGAGCCACGGGACAAGGCTACAGCGAAAAGTGGCCGACTCGACTCCGACTCGTTCAAAGCGAAAATTGCGCAGTTATCGCGAGCGGGTGATTCGGTGCGCATACTCCCGCGCGTTCCCTTTGTGTTATTTTCGGTCGGAATCGCCACTCGAGCCTTTAAATAGGACTGACTTTCCGACAAAGAAGCTAGTTTGAAACACCGATTCTACATGCTGCAGCATCGCAGACTATTCACCGTGAGTAAATAACCGTGAATATGGTGCTCGCGAAAGGAAACGTCAAACGCAGTTGTTTTCTCGCGGGAGACTCGCGAGATCGAGAATCGATCCGATTGCGCTTTGGCCATGCGAACCTCCTTGCTCTTTCACCTCGAGCCGTGTGTCACGTCGCATCGCGTCGCGTCACATAGCGCCGCGATACGTTTTCAAAGATCGCTCGATCGATTCTCCGTTCGAAGCGAACGACAAACGTAAAACTCAATGACTTAAGTAACGAAATATTACAAGGCGTTGAAAAGGAAACGGAAGTTAGAACGGGAAGTTCGAGCGTGGGAAAGTAGGCTAAAAGAACGGATCCTCGTTCGATCGATTCGATCGACGCCCTTCCTTCTATCATCGCCAAAATTGTCAGGCGATCTTGGCAGGGTTTCGGCGTTCGTAACGAAAGATCTCGAGAGTTCTATCTAAAGGCGATTTTTTCGGGAACGATGTTGGCGCTCGCGCGTCAGGCCTCGCGCGGGATTCGAAGCCGACTCGAGGTTGGAAGAGTTCGAGTAGAGTATTAGGTCCGTTGTTAATCATTCCTGTTTTGTCGTACGCGATCAGATGCCCTCGGAATGCATCGCCAATCCATTGCAGCGCGAATTAGCCGACGCCATAATCCGGTTGCAACCGCTGGACGAGATCCGGATTCTGCTGGCATGCGGGGCGAAGGCGAACGAGCCGGTGACGCAGGGCCTTAGGCCGTTGCATTACGCGGTGTGGCAGAGGTACACGGAGGCGGCCCAGCTTCTCCTGGTCCGCGGCGCGGACATTGACGCCACCGACGAATGCGGCTACTCGCCGCTGCACCTCGCCGCGGAGCACGGCTACATGGACCTGGTGAAAATGTTGCTTGAGCACGGTGCCAAAGTGGATCATCGGCAGGAAACGGGAGAGCTCTTTCCAAGGTACGTCTTCTCCGTTCGCCTTCCCCCCTCTCTTTCTCTCGTGTCCCCTCGTCCTCTGTAGTTGGAAGGTCGATAAGAAATCAATCGACGTGTGTGCCAACAATTGCTCGCTTCCGGTACTATAAATTACCGAGTTATCTCAAATGGAATCGTTCTTTATTTTTACCGCTCCTGAGAGAGAGGGGAAGGGATCGGGATACCGGGGGAATGGGGGAATCGAGGTAAACGAAAATCCGGATATAATCGAAGGAGAAGGAACTGTAGCGGATGATCTACTGCGATTTGCGCAGGACAACGCTCTGCGACGAACCGTTGAGACTCGCGTTGAGAAATCGACACGTCGAGGTAGCTAGAATTTTACTGGAAGCCGGTGCTAATCCGAATAAAAGGTACTTCTTCGGGTCGGAGATAAATCTCGTCTCTCCACTAGACTTGCAATGCATGGAATTGCTGTTAGCTTTTGGTGCCCATCCGAACACGAGGGACCGCGCTGGACTTACTCCACTAATGAAAGCAGTCAGGCTGCCTCAGGTAACGGAACAAAAGGCAAAAGATATTATATCTAGTTAAGACTGTTTTTATCCTGCTTATTTAATCGCGTTAGGGTATAACCGCGGTACTCCTTCTGCTGAGCTACGGCGCGGACGTAAACTCGATGGCTGACGCTAGGCACGATTACCGAACCGTTCTCCATTACGCGATTCTCGGCGGGGACCCGGCCGTGATCGAACTTCTCTTGAAGCAAGGCGCTCGTCTCGATCTCGGCCCGGAATATCAAAAACCTACGGCTCTCGATTTAGCCATTCTCAAGGGAGACCCCTCAATCGTTAGGATGTTGTTAGAATCGGGTGAGTCTCTCTTACTCCTATCTGATCCCATCGCACCCAGTAATTAATTAAACGGTGAATCGAACTACAGGCGCTGACGTGAACGCCACTTCGCCGATCATCGGCTCGCCGCTGCACGTAGCTTGCGCGGACAACATCCCGAACAGACTGGAAATCCTATTGATGCTGCTGGAACGAGGAGCGGACCCGAATATGGTAATACGTAGCGACGAGGGTATCGCGTTACGTCCCGTCCTCGCAGAGTACGTTGCCTCCAACGAGAATCCCTCGGTGGAAGTGGTCGCCTTGTTGCTCAAGTACGGTGCACGGGTGGTGATCAAGACGCAGTTCCGCGATCCCCACGGTATACTGAACTCCCTTCAAAACACGGCGGACAAGCCGCGACTACTGAAGGCGCTACTGGAAGCCGCGGAGAGCTTCGATCCTTGCATGATACGAAGATCGAGCAGCTTGACGGACGCACAGAAAGCGCTGGTAATGGAAGCCGCGCGAACTCCCTTGCCCCTGACCCATCAAGCCAGGTTAATCGTACGCAAGGTATGCGGCACCAAGTTACCGAAGATCGTCCGCACGTTGCAGCTACCTCAATCGCTGCATCGCTACCTCCTTTACGACTTCCACTGATCTCGCGACGACGGCTCCGCATGCCGTATTGAACTTCGGACGACTTCGTTGCGCTATCCTATCTGTGAACAACCCTAAGCAACGACTCTCAACGTATAACGTCGCTGACGCTCGCTCGTACGTTTTTGTTATACCTGATTAACTGACACAAGGTGTCAATCGTCGAAGCTACGATTATATCTAAGCCGGTACGAACGCTGATCGTATCGTAGTCGAAGGTGTCGTACGTACATTTTACATGCGATTTTACATACCATGTCCAATGAAGCAAAATAAACAGAGGATTCTATTACAAATAGTCTAACATGACTCATCCCTTCCATATGATTCTTCTTTGTTTTGGCTCGTAAAACAGGTGATACGTGGGAGAAGTTAGACAGATGCGAAAAGCAGAATGGATACAGGAAAGTCATGCAAACGGCGGGTGCATACAAAATTGCAACACACGGAATGTTGGCCGTCGTCAACGTGACGTGGATTCATTCTCAACTAGCTTTATCCTACCTTATCCTCTCCACCCTCGAAATAGCAGCCTCGATACGGTTTGGATACGGTGACCCGCGTCAAACCGTTCGCAATCGTTGCATCACGGACGAAATTGTGAATATGTAAATAGCTGCATACGCGCTTACACATGCAACTTAATCATATCTCATGCCAATTTCGTAGATCGTGGATTACTTTTATAATTCAGACTATAAATTGCATGATTAGTTTTTATCCCATAAAAGCCGTCTCTGTAAACATGTTAGACAAGTGAGGGCAACAGCAGTTTCCGTTTATCATTAATGAACAATTACCAGTCGAATTATACATATTTATGAAGGTAATAAAGAAATGTAAAAAAAAAATTGCAATGGGGACGGAGCGATAAAACTCCGTGGGTAATGTCAAATCGATTTGCGCCGATGCAAACGCTCGGGCCTCCGATCAAGACCTCCACTTCCACTGTGTGTTCTAAAGAATGCAAAGTGGGGAATCTAAAGAGAATGCTGACTGACGGACGTGTGATCTAGTATAGAGAGTGTTAATTAACGGGTAATTATCTATAACAATAACGATAAGAATAGGAAATGCCGGGAGTGGAAGCGTGTAGATTACGAAAGGGAAGCGGTAAAACAGTACGGGTGCGCACTTGCAGGTGAGGATGGCTGTCAGAGCTCTAACACCCGTTCTGCGCTCTCACCGAGGGTTAGCCGGGTTATGGAACGAAAAAGTAATCGCTGCCAGCAGCAAGATCGGCCCATTATTCAACGATGACAACAGGTGAGCTGGAGATGACAAATTTCGACAAAGATTCCAAAGTCCCGAGTGGTTTTGGTTATGTAACTGCTCGTTTAACCTGTAAACTCGTAGTCTATGAGAAAATGAATTTTTTGTAAATCGTAAATATTGTAGCCAACGACGTGGAGCACACAGATGGAATCCGGATATGGAATACGTGAAACACTATCTGCAAAAGGAGGATAGCCGGTTTCTTGTACCAGAGACTGCGTGGGTTCGTAAGTCTCTGGATATGCCCGACGAAATATTCTCCACAGGGGTAGACGCCGCGCATGAAATACGAAACATAGTGATCAACTTTGGCCCTCAACATCCAGCTGCTCATGGAGTATTGCGACTTCTTATTGAGATGAATGCGGAGATCGTGATACGGACTGATCCACATATAGGTCTCTTGCATCGGGGCACAGAGAAACTGATCGAATATAAAACGTACATGCAGGCGTTGCCCTACTTTGACCGGTTGGACTACGTTTCCATGATGTGCAATGAACAGTGTTTCTCGTTGGCCATTGAGAAATTGCTCAACATCGATGTGCCACTAAGGGCGAAATACATTCGAAGTAAGAAATATAGATAGAAATAATTACGAACATTTCTATAAATTATAAACGTATTTTGTAGCGCTATTCGGTGAGCTGACGAGAATCCTGAATCATCTCATGGGTATTGGAACGCATGCCCTGGACATCGGTGCTTTGACACCGTTCTTCTGGTTGTTTGAAGAGCGAGAGAAGATGATGGAGTTTTACGAGCGCGTCAGCGGCGCCCGCATGCACGCTGCTTACGTCCGTCCCGGCGGTGTTTCTTTGGACATGCCGTTGGGCCTGATGGACGACATATACGAGTGGGCCGCAAAATTCGCGGAGCGATTAGACGAAGTGGAGGACTTGCTGACGGCGAACAGAGTCTGGACTGGTCGTACGAAGGACATCGGTGTCGTCACGGCGCAACAGGCGATAGATTGGGGATTCAGCGGTGTGATGTTGAGAGGTTCGGGCATCAAATGGGACTTGAGGAAAAAAGCGCCATACGATGCTTACGATCTAGTCGACTTCGACGTTCCAATCGGTCAGTTCGGAGACTGTTTCGATCGGTAAGATATCGAATAATACACAGACCGTGGATTTTATAAAGAAATTAAATGTACAAAAAATATAAACACTGCAAGTAATGTATGAAAATGTACAGACCACCAAAAGCACAATGCATATTGCAATGTTTAATCCCTTGCCGCACTTTAACGAGTCGAACCCGTGATCAGAATTTTAGCAAACATAAATATCACGAGTCGAATTCGTGATCATAATTTCATGCAAAACGTGGATATCACGAGTCAGACTCATGGTTACAATCATATGCTCGAAGAGAATATGCAAAGTTTGCGATAAGCATAAAAAGCGGCGGGAAACGACTTGGGGATGCACGCTACATGCAAGTACAAAAAATTGTTTCGAGCTAAATGGTACGGCATGGGGTTTAAGCGTACAAAAATTTCTATTTGAAACGCATTTTTTAAACTGATAAATAATTTATTTTGTATAAAAATCTGTAGTCTAATAATAACGAACGAATTTATCGTAATAAGCTGGTTCCTGTTTTAGGTACGTCTGCCGCATGGAGGAGATGCGGCAATCGTTGCGTATCATCCTCCAGTGTCTCAATCAAATGCCGCTGGGCGAAGTAAGGGTTGACGACGCGAAGATCGTGCCACCGAGACGAGAGGAGATGAAAACGAGCATGGAGGCGTTGATACACCATTTTAAGCTGTTCACTCAAGGATTCCAAGTCCCACCTGGTGCGACGTACACCGCGATCGAGGCGCCCAAGGGTGAATTTGGTGTTTACCTCGTAAGCGACGGTAGCAGCAAACCATACAGGTGCAAGATCAAGGCGCCAGGCTTTGCCCATTTGGCGGCTATGCGTCACATGGGTCCTGGATGTTTCCTCGCGGACATCGTAGCCATTATCGGTACCCTAGACGTGGTCTTCGGCGAGATCGATAGATAATTTAGTGTTTGCTATCTTTTCTCAATAGCATAGAAATTTTCTGCTCGCCTTTCTCCACTCTGTCTGTGATCCGCGCGCTTCGTATGTGAATGTGGATCATACGTGTGGAATATAAAAGGATATACGTGATTGTATAGATTAAGATTAAGCAAATAAAATGTATTGGTTAGTTCCCAGATGACGGTGCTTTGAACCATCCATTAAATTTAAAAAAAAAATGAGTTATGCGTAATACGTATAACGAGTTCTTCTCACGATGCGATATGGCGGTTGCGTAATATTTGTCGAGAGAAAGAAAAAAATGGCAAAACACGAAGAACAATTAGGAATATTATCGTGATTCATTCTAGGTTGTCGGAAGTGTCTTTCTATTTCTAGCAGATTATAGAGATTGGTATCCAATTAAAGGGTCATGGCTCTCTAGTTATCCGTAATCCCGCGATGACTCGAGCAAGGGCAGATCGTTTTTTGTTTTAGACAATTATACAAAGGTGATAATTATCTCTTCGTTCGCGCTCCTTCATTCTGCGCCTCGTCTATCTCGCACGTCACGCGTTTTCTTCCTTGGCCGTTGCCCGTTCAAAGTCGCATGAATATGTATATATCTACGCGGCTGGTGATGAGGAAGGAGGTAGATTTCGCGCGGCAGGACCGATGCGGATAAGAAAAGGGAAGGGATTGTGTGTTAAAGTTAATTGTAAGTACAGGGAATGTGCTTATATACGCGTGTAACGTAGCGAGCGATGATCACCGACCGTGGAGACGAGAAAGCAAAGCGAGAAAGTGCATAATAGTGCGCAGAATATAGAATATAGAATGATCGGAATGGTGACAGACCGCGTGGAAGGTAGAACGAGCGCGAAGGGAAGACGGGCAGCAGGAGGTATGATGAATAAAGACAGAATGCAGAATCGTAACAGAGGGACAGGTGGGGGAAAGGTGGAAACGAGGGTGGTAAAGCGGTGGGGACAGCGTAAGGTTTAGGATGGGACGAAGAAGAGGAGGAGAATGGAGAAAAGACAAAGAAGGAAGAGAGGTAACGGAGAAGTGGAAAAAAGCGAGTGGGGTAATGATAAATTGTTCACCTGAACCGCATGCTCGCCGTTCACGATACACTCGAACGGTAAGAAAGTAGTAGTATTAGTAGTAGTAACCGGAGTTGGAGTCGAAGTAGCAGGGCGTACGTACGCTCGCTCAGTGTTTCGGTTGAGCTCGGTGCGAACGTTGCAACGTTCCTCGCCTGGAAGAGAGATCCGGTGTCTCTCTTTTCCTTTTGCTCGCGTTCGCCGTACGACCGTAACTCGGTCGCAAGACTCGCGATCATCGCTCGCGGTTTTCCTAGCTCGATCTAGGGCTTGCGAGCGTGAGAGAGAGCGCGCACGCGCTCGTTTTAAGAGCGGGTCTCAGTTGAAAAGCGAAGGAACCGAGAAAATCGAGGAAACTGAGGCCGATTACGAGGAGGCGACGACCAAGAGGTACGTGCTCGTGGTTATTCGCCTGGAGAAAGGCGAGCCTCGTCGTTTGACCGCGTTACTTTGCGTACTCGGCGTAGATCGAAACGTCTATACCGTGTAACGAACCAGTATCGTTCGTTCGTTGACGACGCATCGCCAGTGGCACACTTGTCGCCTGGAAAGGAGAATAGACTTTCTCCTTTTCGTCCACCTTTCATCTCGTTCTCTCGCGGACGAGATCGCGATCGATCAACGGGGACGACGACGACGGCGACGAGGACCACGAGGACGAAGGAGACGCGAGCGGTGAGAACGAGGTGCGACGTTGACAGAAAGATTCGTGTTAGAATAAGGAGAACGAGGACGGATTGAGTGCAAAAAGGGCGAACGCGAAAATCAACCGTTCGCATCTCGACGGGGTATAACGCGAGATACCGCGGTAGAAGATTCAAAATCGAGGATCGCGCGCGAGAGGAACAAGATAAATTCAAGGTGATCCAGCGTCCAACATGAGAGTTCATCGGGGGATTTGCGCGAAGCTCCAAGGTGGATTCCTCAGACGATGGTGTAAGTAAGCAGTAAATCTGCAGTTGTTCAGTGTCCGCTTGTGGGTTGCTCGTCGCGATGGGACAGGAGAATACGTTAACAAGATCGTTGAGGATAACGATATTACCGGCGCTACGAGCGTCACGAACCGTGCGTGCTTAATTGAATTCGGTGATCGTGTCATCTCGGATCGCGATGATTCATCGGGCCGCGCTGCGCCACGCTACGACCGCGTATCGTCTCGTCTCGTTTCATCGATCTCGTTGGAAAATCAATTCGCGAAACAACGTAAGCCGAGTCTCTCTTCCATCAACCTCTCTTTTACTTTCACTCGAAGACTGCGCGTTTCGAGCGTCTAAGCCAACTTGCCGCGATGATTTTCTCTCGTTTGGATACGCGCGGGATAGACACGGATGAATGACGAGAGACGATGGACAGAGAGAAAGAGATAAAAACGGCGGAAAACCTGTTGGAAATTTCCGTGAATATCCACTCGTATTCAGGATGTTACAAGGCCGAGCGAGACGTGGCGCGAAGAGCAAAGTCGAACATCGGATAATGAGAATCGCTAGGAAAAGGTGGATAGACCGCGCTCTCGTAATCGTCGTAGCCCGCGGGTATTATTTGCGTGTCAGAAAACGAACTTTGATATCGTTACAAGAAACTCTCTGAATCGGAGGGAGGAAGAAAGAGAGAGGGGAGGATGTATATACCCGCGATTCGATTCCGGGGTCATCATCGTTTCGTGCCTTACGTCGATCGGCTTCTTACGCAATCTTCCGACACAATTTCCGTTCGCCGCCGCACGGAATCCTTAGGACGATTATGTATTTGCGCGGTGGACTTTGAAGAAACGCGAGCAGGATTCCGGTGTTCCGGGCGAAAGTTGACCGCGATTATCTCGGAGGGGTAGCGCAGAGATTACAGCCTCCGCGGGGATTGGACTCGTTCGACGCCGCGTAAACGTAAAACCGACGGCCTAGCGGCTCGGTTCGTTTCATTCGTTAGGCGTGAAACACGCCGGGTAAGAGCAGGAAGCATACGACCTTATATAATCCCGAGCAATTGCTGGCGAATGTGCGTAGGTAGATACGCTCGTATACGTATGCCGTCTGTGTAATACACGCATTGTGACGTGCGGGTATACGAGGACGATTCTCGCTTCCCGTACAATTTATTGATTCTACCACTGAACCTCAGTCCTTTTATTAATTCTCATATTTGTCAACGATGCGACATCGGGTCACAGCGGCGGAATCGATGGCTAGTCAATTCAGTACACATTTTTCATCGGTAACTCCACTCCATGTTCTTCTAGCCAACAATGCCAATGGCATTTATTGTGTTGAAGTATTCACTTCTGTTGATCGACGATCGATCGATTCGACGATGCAACATGACGCTGAACGTGACGCGTCGCAAAATGACACCTTCGAGCCAAGTGCAGGGTTTTATAATATGACACGCACTGAGAACGAATGCAATGGAACGCAGAAAAAGAAAAAAGAAAGAGGAAACGTGCGGCTACCTACGATGCGACAACGTGTGACAATGTATAGATATATCCCTCGCAATCTTTCTCTCTCTATTTTTTTTCTCATTATCACATCCATGCGATCGTTACAAGTTGAATATCGATCGTGGCCAGCAGAACGATTTTAACCACCTAAGAGAACAGGCTGAGTGTCCAACGTGTTTTTATTGACCCAGTAAAATATATAACGACAGTCCTCCACTTCCTTATATTCTTATAAATAATATTTAGAAATAAATCTAATATTAAACAGTAAACTGTTTCGATTCGTCTAATACCAATTTGATTTATTTAATAATTTGGTCCTTGACTCGGAGACAAAATGATAATTTTGTCCCGAACTACGCAAGGTTGCCAATACCTGCTGTAAAAGATAGAGAAAACATACTTTGGAGGAGTTTCATTCTCTAAAATTCTCTCATTCATTTTCTTTTTCTCAATCGACTGGTTCCAAGTCTGTCGTTTGTTCGCTCGGTCTGTTCTCACATGTCTGGGTATGTTCTAACCGCGAGTGACCTAGAACGGCGAATGAAAAATGCCGTCGACCGAAATCGAAACAAACAGAACGTTTTCGGCATTTGCATGAGAATTCGCTTGGGAACGCGCGCGCGCGCGCGTGTCGAAGAGCTGATCGGCTCGTTGAAAGGTGTGTTTGCTCCTTCTGCATGTTGGACAGCGCAACGTGAACGCCGAAGGTGAACCGCTCTGATGGAACGCGACCTACGAAATTCCATTCTCGTCTCGATTTTGCGGATTGCGTAAATGCGCGCGGCTAGTGCACGCACCGGGCTCCGCGCGGTTGCGCTTTCACTTACACAAGTGCTTACTTAAGTGAGCAGGAACAATTTCTTTGCGAGTTATGATTTATTAAAGACGAGCCGATTCGTCTTTTGGTGAAAACCGCCGCGGGTCACCGGAGGTCAACTGACTCCTCGTCCAGTGCGCGGGTAAAAGAAAAGACACGTACAGGGAAACACGGCCTTTCTCTCCTCCTCGGTAGCCCATTCGATTGGAACGTGATTTTTCCTCGTCAATGTCCATTCGCCACCGAATCGTTAGACCAGTTGCGCAAGTATACACGCGGCTACACGTGTACCTATTTACATATACACGAATCTGCACCGGTTGATCGAAACTCTTCCAGGAACCGAAATTCCAGTTTATCTTGAACGTTACCCGCTCGTGTCAATCTGCATAAGTACATTGGACCAAGCGCGCGCGGCGGGGTATTCATGGGCGACCAGTTTCTTTTTTCATTCACAGTCCCGATCTTATTATATTCGATTGTTTGCGTTCAGCCGATGATTTTTTGTCCCACGGGACTTTCGTTCTGCGTGCAGAAATCGTTCGGAAGGTCGGACAGCGACGCGCAATCGGATTTCCACATTGGCTGACGACGCAGGATATACGACATCGGTGTTGTGACTTCGGTAACTCGCGGATCGGGTTCATGGGTGGGCCGCGACCAGTTTTCGAAATCGGTGTTTCGCGTCGAAAAATCGAACGGTAAGCAGACTCGCGTTGACGTTCTCTGGAAAGTTCGTTCGCGACGAGGTCGCAGATCCGACCACACCGATCTCAAGGATTTTGTAAGGTCGACCGTATGACGTCCGTAGTCCGTGCCTCGCATTTCGAACGGCCGATTCTCGGTAGAACAGCCACGAACCTCGCGTTTCTCTTTCGGACAAACCGGCGAATCCCGTAAAAGACAGCAAATCTAGCCTATTAATCTTAACCCTTAACCTCCGGCCCTAGGCGCTCATTTGCGTACACGTGTATAATTACGTATTTGCTCATACTTTTCTACGTACGGTAGGTGAAAATGTAGGACCGTCGCCGGTTTCGAAGGTCGCAACTCGTGCCACGTACGCGGGTTTCACGGCGGCTTACGTGACTGAAAAATCAACCGCGTTCGCGAGCTTCGAATCACTCGGATTGATCAACGGAAACCGTAAATTATCGAGATCCCGAACTATGTAACTAAATTCAAAGCGTAGATTGCCCGACGACGAATTCACAAATTGAAGACGTGTCGAGTTTTCTTTCGGATATAGACGAGTCGCATCCTTGAAGAACGATGACCCGTGAGTCGTTTTTCCAAGGATTATATAGGTACACGAATACCGTAGGACGGAAGGGAGAGGCTGTTTCGGGTTTCGTTCGGGACAAACATATCGTCAGGCATTGAGAACTGGCGTGATGCAACCGAATTAACGTATGGACCGTGATGAATGTTCAGGGGCAGCGGTGGCCGTCGGTGCTTTGATGATCATCATCGCCGCGATTCTGGCGGCAATCTTCCCGAAATTGATGGACATAATACTGACTCGGGAGATCGCGTTGCGGGATGGAGGACGTACGTACAAGTGGTGGAAGGAACCGCCTGTGTCGCCCAGGTTGAGCGTGTACATTTACAACGTGACGAACGCCGACGAGTTTTTGAACGACGGTGAGAAGCCGGAGCTGCAGGAGTTGGGACCGTACGTCTACACCCAGCATTGGGAAAAAGTCGAGGTGAAATTCAACGACAACGACACGATCTCGTACAAAGTGAAGAAGCAATTCAAGTTCTCACCGGTAAGCGTATTTAAATATCTGAATGAAAAATTCAACCGCTGTTCCCGGCATCCGGTTAAGGTGGTTCTATTAAAATACAGGACATTGAAGATCATAATCAAATTGTCCTACATTATTCTCCAGGTCGTACTGAATAAACAGATTTTATGCATTTATAAGAAAACAGAATGCGCAAAAATTATAAATGCTTCGTGTGATATATAGAAATGTGCAAAGTATCAAAAGCTGAATGCATGCTTTAATGATAAAATTAATATTCATCTGAAACACGTATTTTAACTGATACCATAAATATTTTATTTTACACAAACGTCCGTAGTCTAGCAATGAATATATCGATTCGCTTAAATATCCACGTTACCGAACTTTTTCAAATAATACAACTTAAAAGGTTGTAATTTAACATTGAAATATGTAGGAGTCATGCACTAATTAAAATTAGTATGCTTGAACTCTGCAGATTAAAACAGAAAACTAGGTATCGAAAGTTCAAATCTCACACTTTCTAATGATTGCAAAAGAAATATACTTTGCCATACTAAATGAAATGAGATTTCCACTTAAAAGTATACAAACTCATGCTTTCATGACCTTTAGAATCAGTTCGAATCGTGGCAACTTATCATTTGAACGTTGTACTTTTTGATATTCAAGTATGATTACTAATAATGTAAAATATTTTACTTCTTACGCACGATTGCTTTGCTTTGTTTAAAAAATTGTAATTTAATTTTAGAAATTACAGTAAAGAATGTTAAGCTAAGATTTTGGAAATTATCAGTGTCCACATACGCTTGACTTCAGAATTTGAATAGAACCATCTTAAGTGCATCCGCATATTTGTAATTTTGAGCGACACGCAACTTCCTGCGAGCGGCATAAACAATCGCGTTCGATCGACGTAAGAAATTTTGCCGACACCGCGATACAAATCGGGCTGAACGGCGCGGGGAAAAGGAAACAACGAGACGACAGGAGAGGAGAGGAGAGTAACCGCGGAACGGAGAAAACGAGGCTAGATTTCGCTCGACAGCGGGGAGGAGGTGGAAGGTGGTTTCTGGTCTCGTAAGAGGTTGCACGGGGTGCACGGAGAGCAAGTCAGCTATGATGCAACTATAACTTGGTTGGTAACGATACGCGAGTTGAGTAAGATCGTAATAGCGGAGCAACGCGCTTCCGTGAATTAGAAGCGAAGGTAACGAGAAGGAGACAACCCGGCAACTTGTCCCCCGATGGCTTCTCTTCCCTCTACTCGACGCCGCGCTGTGAAACCGTCGGCCAACGTGACACGGATTCTCCGAAACACGGAGCGCGGTGTGTCCGTCCGCTGCCGCGCGTACCCACTTCGTTTCCCAGTATTGTTACCGTTGCGACGGCGAACGATAACAATATAGGTCGGTAGCAGCGAACGATGGAACAATATCTTTGTTCGCGGGAATAATTGAAATAGGAGCGCGAGAACGATATCGCTTTTGTGGGAAGGAAGAAACCGCGCGTAAGAGGCGAGGGGATTGTTTGTGTATCTTCGCTACGATGGACGGGTTAAACGTTCAAGAAACGGTTGCAGGAACTGTCCGTCGGATCGGACGATGATCTGGTGGTGGTCCCGAACGTGCCGATGCTCTCGGCGACTAGCCAATCGAAGCACGCTGCGCGTTTCCTCAGGCTAGCGATGGCCTCGATCATGGACATACTCCGGATAAAGCCGTTCGTCGAGGTATCCATCGGTCAGCTTCTTTGGGGCTACGAGGACCCGTTGCTCAAACTGGCGAAAGACGTCGTCCCGAAGGAGCAGAAGCTTCCCTACGATCAGTTCGGCTTGCTGTACGGGAAGAACGGCACGACGCCGGACTGGTACACGATATTCACAGGGCAAGGGGACATCGGCAAATACGGTATCTTGGACAAGTGGAATGGGAAGGACAGCCTGGGTCACTGGACCGCCCCGGAATGCGACAGTGTGGCTGGGAGCGACGGTAGTATTTTCCCACCGCGTATCACCAAGCAGACGGTGCTAAAAGTGTTCGACAAGGATCTGTGCAGAGCTCTCCCTCTCGTCTTTAAGGTAATTTCGAAGTCCTGAGTTAAGACAAAAGAACAGTTTCGATGTTGAATCGTTTCCCAGGAGGAAGTGAGCACCGCAGGCGGTGTCCCCGGCTACAGGTTCGTGCCTGCGAGCAACGCTTTCGCCTCTCCGAGTCGGCTGGAATCGCAGCGATGCTTCTGCCCGGCTGGTCCGCCCTGCGCTCCCGAAGGAACCTTTAACGTATCTCTCTGCCAATACGACTCACCTGTATTGCTCAGCTTTCCACACTTTTACCTCGGTAAGATTTAATCTCGCCACACTACCGTGGCATTCTCGAATCACTTCACTTATGTATTCTTACTCTCATTTTATTAGCGGATCCCACGCTTCGGGAAGGAGTGAACGGCATATCGCCACCGGTCGAGGATAAGCATCAATTCTACATCGATGTTCAACCGTTGATGGGCACAGCATTGAGAGCCAAAGCAAGGATCCAGATAAATCTCGCGGTTAGCCAGGTTCGGGATATAAAACAGGTTGCCTCCTTCCCGGACATCGTTTTCCCCATAATGTGGTTCGAAGACGTAAGTAGAACCGAACGATGCTTATTCGCCAGCAACGCGAATGCTAATACGAATACGAATGCGAATACGAACGTGGCGCGTGATTCATTTCGTTGGAATGGCCATTCGCGTCGATTATACATTGAACAGTACACTTAGCGTGTATTGCATTCGATATTCGTTGGTATAGCTTGTGTAGACAAGGAAAATTGATCGCTGATCGATATTGGTTTTTGTTATTCATACAGGGAATCGACGAGCTTCCGGTAGAAATGCGAAGCCTGATGAAGATGGCGGTGGATTTGCCTCCCGTGGCTCGAGCAGCGGTGTCCGGGGCTTTGGGAGCTCTCGGATTAATCGTTCTGATTGGGGCGCTACTCTGCCTGGCGCGCGCCGCTAAACGACAGGAGAAGCTCCACCTGAGCAGCCCGTTGCCACCGAACGCGACCACGGGTAAAACCGGCCAATTAAATCCGGCTTTTCAGAACTCGTCCAAGTAGGACCGACTGTCTCGATATAATTGTTTGACCTCGAGAGCGCGAGATCGCGCGTTCATCCTCGCACATCGCCTTGTCTTCATTCCGGCCGTTTTTTAATTTGCGAACAATCGAGAGACCGATAGACGACGCGTTTTTATCATCATCGAGTGCTCATCGTCGTTCTCCACGTGATCGAATCTTAGGAATAGAAAGCGCGCGCGAACAAAATCGCGGCAGAGGGAGGGGTAGGAGATGGTCAATTACATTGCTCCGCACGTAACGGTAACATTCACCGTTTACGAGGACTTTCACATATTTTTTATTGGCTCTCTGCCTTTTGTACGATGCGTACCGTTTGCCGACCGACTCGTCAATGAGATTCTACGCAGAACACGATTCAACGGATTCGTTTGCGACGTTCGTATCCGTTAAACTTTGCAAACTGTAAGTCAGGAGGAGGCAAGGTAAAGCAATAGGACAGAAAGTAATGATGGTGCAGGTGCGACAAATGTAATTTCATTTCGCAAAACGTCGTCGAAATCAGTGGCGGTTGACCAAATCGATAGGTAGACATTCTCGTCTCTCGTGGCCGTCCAAGAAGAAATTGTTCCGTCCATGGCTGCACGCGCGTGCGATATTAGACGCGAGCTCACGAATAGCCAGCAGACTTTAATAGCCAGCGATCGAGATCTTATTGTTATACATTTATACCTTCGTTTTTATCTAATTAATTGGAACACGCGTTAGCCTACGGTTAGATTTATATAGTTAAATTTAGTTCTTTTTATACATCTGAGTGTTCGAGAAAGAAACGAGAGTATTGGGAGGAGGAGGAGCGAGAAGGAAGCAGCCAAATAACTCTAAAATCGGGTCCATTCCAGATAATTTCAAACAACATCGTGGAAACTGACAATAAAATTATGTACAACAGATAATCGCTGGTTAATTGAATCCGTGTGACGTACGTAGCCGTAAGTCATAAGTCGAGGAGCGCATGCGATAGAGGTAAGAAAAAACAAAGTGAGTCCGCTTATCTCGGTTTGCCGGATGGTGTCGTACGATGCGACCTGGGTTATCGGCATGTAGAAAGGCACTGTGATTCGCTGAACGTAATTCGTGCAATCGGATCGCTATCGCGATCGCGATCACGAAACCATTTACGCGCAAGAGAATATTACGATGCACGCGGCTCAGAAATGAACCAGAATGAATTTCTCCAGTTTAACCGAACTATGTAATAGTAAAAGTTCGCTACGCGAACTATTCGTATTACGTATGAGTCCGCGAAATGGAATTCACTGAGCATTCACTGCGTTCTCGCAATACGGAATATGAGTCCAAGGATGAGATCGAAATTGATTTCGATTTAAAATCGATCGAGTTCGGTTCGTTGATCCGGTTTCGACGATTTGCTCGATGACCTCTCGTCATCTCTTGTCAAAGCCGCGATGAGAGCACCAAACGAGAGAACCGCGCAGACCAGGCTACACCATTGAAAACCCGCTTCGACTGCGTTCACCAAGTAGTAACTACGGTGAAGGATTTCCAGAACTGATTCTGGCATATCGTCTATCGTGCTGTCTACCCATATCAGCGGAAGGATGAGGCCATCCTCGAGCTTCCCCGAAAAGGGCATGCCAACAGCTTTCCTCACTTCCAGGTTCAGCTGCAACCTCAGTCTGGTGTTCACCGTTACCGCCAGTCGCTGAAAAAAATATGCGTATGCGTAAGTAGCTTGCGAATCGTGTATGGATATGCAGTGACTCCCGTTTAATATTCGAACACACCTCAAAATAGAATAACTCTTTTAATATTGGTTTAAGTTTCATCAAAATCTATGAAAGCATAAAAAATTAGACACGTAGAACATGTAAAAATTCTTCGGTAAAGAAATATCGGTGACCATCGGTTTAAATAAGATTTTTAACAAATGTTGGTTATTTAGGAATTTAGACATTTCTTGTTCGTGCCAGTTATCAACATTTTATCCGAGCCACCCCTTTTACATAAATAGTTGTATTGAAACGATAAAAGATATCAGACAACGGTTGAAAAAAAAATTGTATTATTTCTTATCACGTAGGAATTAGTCTAAAACAATTTTTTAAAAAAGGGAAAGTTGAATTTTCGTAAAAAACGATTATTTCCAAAAATTTTGTGCCCTAGTTTGCAGGCCACAAGAAACATATGTACAATTTTTATTTCAATCATCTTCCTATTGAAATCGATGTATTAGTTCAATGTAAAAAAAGTTATTTCGTTTTGAGGTATGTCCGAATATTAATAAAAGTCATTGAACATATGAACACTTACCGGATGGAGATCAATGTAGCTTTCGTGACGATCTCGCCTAGGCGAGAGACCGTCGATCTTTTTAAACAGCGATTCGTCTCCCGCATAAAAGTGCGGGAAAGAAACCACTAACGGCGTGCCTTGCTTGCAAGCGGAAACGTTGAACGTTCCAGCTGGAGGGCACCTTCTTTCTAACGAATCGGCCGATTCCTTTGAACAGAAACACGAATCTTTGTTCGTGGCGAAAATATCGCTCGGTAATTTGTACCTGTAAATGCAGCGATCGTATTTTATTAAGCTTTTTCCAAGATTTCGAACGGAGAGTTTAGAAGCGAGAGAGATTACCTCAAGGTGGGTATACCGTTCGTGAAGCTTCGACGTTCATAGCGAAAGGGTAGACTCCTACAGACATCCTTCGCGTATATATAAACAGTCGAATTCGTATTAGGCTCCTCGATCCACTGCGGTGGGAACATGCTACCATCGGTACCATCAATTCGATCGCAGCTGTCATCTCCCCACGTATGATGGTTCTCCAAACCGTTGACACTCTGTATCAGTCCCAAGCTGCGCATGTCGACACCCGTGTGCATAGTGATGCGATCCGTGTTCAGACCGTTTTTCTGAAACGTTGCATCACGGTCAGCCGATAAATAAACGCCGACGACATAGGATAGATAAGTGCGGACAGATTGATGAAACGCCAGATGAGGAATGGAAAAACGAGACGTACAATCGCGAGAATCCCGAACTTGTCCAAAGGCACGGGCTCCTTCAACGAGGCGACCGACTTGACCATTTTGAACAGCTCGTCCTCGTAACCCCAGAGGTACTCGCCAACCGATAAACCGAGGAACGTTTCGGTTCGCAGCTTCGACAAGACCACCGTCAGTCCAATCTGAACCAGGTAGATAAGATTACGAGAATAGGCGAGGGTGGACATCAGTAACATGTTCGGCACGACGATTCTGTCGGTCTCTGATTCTCCGCCGACCCATTCGTAGCTTCTTTTCTCCTGATACGTCACCGTCCCATTATCGTTCATCTGCACGTTCGTTCGACTGAGAGTCTCCCGGTATATGTACGGTCCGACTTCTTCTACCTTCAATTTATCCGCGTTCCCGTTTTGGAACTCCTCGACGTTCGTGTAATTGAAAATATAGATCTTCCCGAGGAGGCTTACTGGTGGCCGCTGCCAAAACAGAAAAGAAGCGGTTCCGTTTCGAATCACCAAATTCGAGAGAATCGCGTCGCGGAAAATGTTGGTGCACCAAAACAGTGAAAATATCGCGATGCTTATAATCGCCGCAAGTCCGTAAAGCCAGCAGACTTTCCGCCTCTGCGACGTTTCACTGAAACTCCTTCGGAACACCCGCTTCAGACTTTTCTTCTTTTCCATCCTTCGTTTCTATTATTATTATTAATACTTATTTATCCTTGCCGGCGGATGGCCTCCTGTGCCTCTCCCTCTTCAGTCACACACGCGCGATTCCCTTTGGGCCGACTACGATCGTCAGGATCGTTCGCTTTCGATGCTCCAACGACAGTGAATACCGCGGAACGTCGACGTCTACGGACAAAAATCTCCCCACCTTTGCTGGTCCGGTGATAACCTCGTGGTTATGATTGACGATGACCCCGGACTGCCGCCGAAGTTGGACAGTCATCAAATTATCCTCGGGATCTTTGAACGTGGTTTCGAAGAAAAGATATCGCGGTTTTTCCGTGTTTCTCCCCTTGAACCGTATTTCGTTTCGACACAATCTCCCTCGCGCTGCTGAACACGCAATACATCCTCGAGACGTTTCTTTCCTCTTCCACGCATAACGACTCGTCGCTTTTTCGTGCCCCTGTCTCGTGGGTGTCCCTCAGTCCCCGACATCGCTGCAACGGATAATGAAACAGTTAGCGGCAGCACCGCTTATCAGTCGTAGACGAAAAAAGTAATGGACGTTAGATGATAGCGTTTAGCCCTACAGAGAGAAGCGTGGTCGTTTCCAGCGTGTCTCGGCCCTGTCCTGAATCCGCTTGACGTGATGCGACAAACGCGGACGAAAATAAGAACGAAATCGTTCAGAGATGTCATTATCTGGTCACGGCTCGATCGCGATCAATGAATTGACGAATGGAGTGGCCGTCACGCGCCGCAAGCCGACGGGGTTCGATGTTATCGCGAATCGCGAGAGCGTTATGTTGTGGCTGGTAGATGCCCTTTTCACCCGCTTCTTCCTGCGTTGCATCGTCGCGAGTCGCGACGTCTTTACCGCCTCCTTCGGCTTTCGCTCGCAGAACGAGACGTAACACACGATTTTTATACTATATCCAGTCGACGTCGACAGCAGGTTACGCGTTATTACGTAACGGACTGACCCGTTGCGTTTTCCTTATCAAATTGCAAGTCTACGAACGAATTTTCTTCGCCGAATTGAATGAACATTTCAGATCTTCCTATAGGTTCGACGAACCGTGCATTCACTTTCGCGTAGGTATACAACGACTATCGTTCTTCCTTCCTGCGATAAATCCGAACGAGACGAGATGAACAATTCCGCGTTTAGGTACGTATGTCTACGTAAATATGGTATAGTATTTGATTACAAGCAAGCGTAGGCCGAGTGACAGATAAAAGGAAAGCATGATTTTGATTCAAATCTCGAATTGCATTAGATCAGTATCTCTTTCTTATAAAACATTAAATGCATAAACTTTCCCTTCTTTTCTATTAAAAATTTATTTCCATCGAATCTATGCATTAAATGAAATGCAAACAATTAATTTTGGACTTAAGAATCCATTTGTTAGAAAGTTATTAAGTGGAAAAGATTCCGATCGATATTCTAATCAGTAGCATGACATTAATATAATGTCAGAAATCTTCTTAAAGCTTTTAATTCATCGTGTAAGATTTAAAACGTGAGAACCGCAAAAATGGATTTGCATACACACTGCTTTTAATTTTGTTGTGCACAATCTGAATGTAATCGATGAAAAAAAAGAAAATATAAAGATATGAAATTTTATTTAATATAAATTGTGGGTGAAATGACTTGGAAAAATTCTCATAAAAGATATTGGTATAGTTAGTATATCCTGGCATTTTTTACTTTTAATACATTCACACTAATTAAAGAATTTGAAAATATTGTGAATTTTTTTCCAATGTAAATTGTAATGCCATATGAATATACATATCTGTGAATTTTTTTACCATTTTCGTTGGAATCTGAGATAAAAATTGAAACAGTTTCCGACGGTTAAAATTGAGTCTTCGGGAATTTGGAAATTTGCTGAATTTTATCCAATATTAATTGTGGATCGAATGCGAATTGAAAAAATTCTGATATGTTCTTTTGATGTAATAGTATGTATCCGATCTTTTTCATTAACTTCTACATACACTACAGTCGAATAAATTGAGTACCAAAAATATCGAAAATTAGATCAGAAACAAATATTTCGATCAATTAATTTTTGAATTAACTCTGTTGAGCCAATCCCGACAATACCCACGACGATCGTAATACCGAAAGTGATTTGCCAGGCTGACTCGAGACGGAGTCGGAGCAAGCCCCGAACTCCGTCAGCATGCATTATACATTATTAATAACGATAACATGTTCAAATTTCGTCGGTCCTTTTAACCATCACTGAGCAAATTCTACCTACGAGTTAGGGTTCATCGAATAAGCCATCTAGTACCGTAAGCTGAACCATCAACGTCACGACAACGCTGACAACGTTGGATCACGTTGGATTCATTTCGATTACAGTCCAGTTCAAATCGTTCAAATACTGTTACACGAATTATTTTATTCTATATTATATCTCTAAGAAATATTGACCTTTTCATGGGA